GCGGACGACGACACTGTTCTTTATTCTTGTGACGTCACACACGCCATGACAGAATGGCGGTCGCCGGTGGTGGGTGGAGTTTGCAGCCAATGACTTCTACGGCTTATTTCGGACTGAAATATTCTCTTACAGTCCAGTTTTTCACGCGTGTACAAGCATATTTGACCCTCTACCTTCGTTTTTTCTCCCGAAAACAGCCAATTGTTAGATGACCTTGGCATGACCCCTTTAAGTTACCGAAGGCTTCTTTCAGTTTTATACTAAGTCATTCTGAAAACATCCGCACAGATGGGCATTAGTACCTATATCAGTTCTAACAATAATCATTGTTTCTCTCTAGCTTGTTGCCACATTCACGGTCCTATGACGTTTACAAATGATCCACACATCCCGACTCGCAGATGCGCTGCTAACTATAAAAGTAACGACAATGGAGTTGTACTTCAGAGTAGACTCAGTTCCACCTCCGGCCTCTTGAGCGTTGCCGCAACCTCGCCTGTCTTAGCTCTCCATGTTTTTCAACAGCCGCTTAAGCTCAGAGCACCTATATAAAGTTCAGCCTGGCCAGCTCGCGCATGCGCCCTGGCGACCAGCAAGGACGCTTGGCATCCAGCGAAGCAAGAACGCGCAATTCCCTTCAGCCCGAGAGTTTACGTTTGTTTGTTTTACTTTGTCGAAGTGAGAAGCACACACTCTAACGAGTACGCGTGTTTGAGTTTACTTTACTTGTGGTTAGCAACAAAACTTGGTGAATCCGGATACCGCCGTGCGGTCGCGACTGTACGGCTCCGTCTGCGGAAATGAGAAGGTCGAGGAGGCGCAGCTACTGCAGCCGCGTACTCACACAGCTTGTTTTTCGCGTCCTGCCCCGCAAATGATGTGTCAACGCCACCCTTTCTGTTGACTCTAGGGCCTTGCTTTCTTTACTTGGGGCACAGCGTTTTGAGCTCGAACTGTGTATGGTGTTTAAAGCTTTGAAGGACTGAGCTGGCTTACTTGTCGGAAGGCGCCGCACGTCAGACGTTGTATCTGCCGAAAAGCACCAGAAAAAGGTGTATTAACTGAAAGTAAAGCACTAAATACGAGAGCTTAACGGCATTCCGCTTTTATAGATGATGGTTTACCTTCTCTCGACTCTGCTCAGATGAGGCGCAGATGCTCCCCTGATTAGTTCAGGTACCAGAGCGGACAAACTTTTCTCCAAAATAGAAAGTTTTCTGACAAAAAAAACAAAAACAGAAAAGTACTCGGCCTTTGTACCTGTGCCGTCACTGCTATAGCCAAGTACATTGCATTTTTTTATGATTGCATAAATATTGCAATTTTTTAGTGGACACTTTCCATGTATATATCATACTCCATGCTTTGATTTGATCTGCTTTGATTGTTTCATACGGCCTACCGCAATCATTATCCTAGACTTGCGGAACGTTGATGTAAAGCTTATCCTATGAAATGAAATGCTTTCATTTTATTTTGCTTAGAACCTGTAAGTCGTAACGATAATTTTCTGACACAACAAATCCCGATTTCAAGTATTTTTGTAACCGACCTTTTACCGTTAACGCCGTCACCACCTCATCTAGGCCCAGAATTCTTGCAGCTCGCTCACAGCCGGGGACTTTGCCGCGCTGCCTTTCTAATCCACCTCGAAGCCGTTAGTCTCGCCTGCCTCATTAAGCTCTGCCACGCACCATTATCACGCCGCAGTATTCACGAAAAGTAAAAAAAAAAACGCAGTCACTTGAAAGATGAAACACCCCTGCTCAGTGCTTTAGGTCTCTTTGGTGAGCGGCAGACGTGCTAGATAAGTTTTTCAATGAGGCAGCTCAAGTAGGCTGGAACTTGAAAGGACTTCCAAATTTGCATTTTCATAACGAGGGAAGAGCAAATACTCATGAAGATTGCCGGGCCTCATCGAAACCTGCGAGAGATAGATAGAGCAGGGTTGAAGCTAAAGTATACATGAGGCCGTTATTTTATAGCAATATGGCGTCGCTGTGTTCGAGAAATCTTGCAGCAGCAGAGCGAAAACGAGAGAGAAAGTGCTATGTTGAAACGCAGTGAATTCTCTCTGTTTAGGTGGGGAACGGAATTGTGTAAATAAATGACCCAGTATTCTTCATAGATTTGAAACTAGGCTGCTCATGTTGTGCGCATGAAAATCCGAGAAACATGCTACTATTTCTTAGGACAACAATCTGTCAGATTTACAAAGGTGTTGGCAACTTTGTTGTTTAGAGAATAGCAGTTCTCTGTCTGTAATTTAGGTTGGATGCACGAGGAAAGTGACCCATTGAGTCTAGGCAACCATAGCTATTTGTTGCTCCTGGTTGGCGATTCCGACGAGACCTTCAGGTAAAGATTTCGACGGAGCCGGCAGACGCGATTCGACGTAAAACGAAACTTGGGCAGATCCCACGTACCGTGAGAATCGACGTAATGCGAAGCGTGCGAGGGAAGGTGGCTATGTGTGTATCACTGGAGTAACTGGGTCGAAACTTCTGGAGCTCTCCAATACGGCGTCTCTCATAATCATATACGGAAGACCGTCTTCTCGTAGAACATTACCGCCTCACTTCATTTGGCCATCATCCTTCAAGCTTATTGAACATATTGATACGGGGTTTTCATTGAAGTGGGGTAAGGGAGAGAGAAGTGAATGTGTTCTGTGCCAGGCCTGACTGCTGCAACCATCTATCATCCCGCCTGTACAATAAACATCTCTCACCCGTAAAATTATATATATATATATATATATATATATATATATATATATATATATATATATATATATATATATATATATATATATATATATTGCAAACAGCATAACTACATATTTAGATAAGCATTCGGTGATAATTGATTATCAGCATGGGTTTAGTACACAGCTAATAACTGTTGCTCATTTTTTTTCCGCGTTAACTCTTCATAAAGACGGCCAAATGGACATAGTTTTTATTCACTTCCGAAAAGCCTTCGTTGGTGTCATTGACAATAAATAATTCTTAAATTTAAAAACGCAAGAATTTCCGAACTGTTTATTTCTTGGGTTGGCACACATTTGTCAAAGCGGCATGAATTCTTAAAGATTCGTGGTGAAAAAAAAAAGAGCTCTCTTTCGGTCACATCGGATGTGCCGCAAGGCTATGTTCTCGGACCTCAATTTTCGATTTTACATATTAACGATATTAACGCGATAGCGTTAGAGAGCTCGTGTCGCAGAAATCCCGCCGTCGGCGTCGGCCCCATTGGTTGTGAGCGAAAAATCGTCTGTGCGTCTGCGAGCGAGAAAAGCAAGTTACCGAGATAGCCGCGAGAGGCCGCTACTTGTCCATGCGGGCGCGCGCAATCGCACTGACAAAGCCGCGCATTCGAAGAAAAAAATTGCTCAAGGTCATGAGGTGCGGTAGTTTCTTTGCCCCGGCCACCCCTCTCTGCTTAGCTTACAGCGCTTTAGTCGGGACGAGAGAAGAGATAGTGCAATTACGGCATGCGACAAACCTTTGTAACTCCACTTGCAGTGGACGGATTCTTCTAGTTTTGCGGCGTTGAATTTGTGAGACAATAAGCTCTTCTAATGAATTCATTCCGTGGTCACTTGAAAAAAGTGTTTCAGGGCCCTCTAACGCGTTTTGTCCGACAGGTGTCACAACGAAAACGACCCCATTCGGCGATTTGCAGGCGCATTCAGGAAGCCTCAAACTATGTCGAAAAAGACCGGGATAGTGCAGCCATCGTCGCTAAAAACACACAGGAACTTTCACACAGCTCTAAAATGGGACAACTATGTCCATTAGCGGAAAACATATCATGCCTTTCCAGAGGCGTTGATCAAGCAAAGAGCAAACGCTAGATAATGTGCTGCTATCTGTGAGGCATTGTGCGACTCTTTATGACTTCCGAGATGGCGAGCGCATGGCGTGCATCTTTGAGGCCATGCGACTCTTGCTTTAGAGCAAAAAATTGTATGTACCATTTCACACACGCGCGCTGGTACGATCTACTGTGTGTGTGTGTGTGTGTGCGTGTGTGTGCGTGCGTGTGTGTGTGTGTGTGTGTGTGTGTGTGTGTGTGTGTGACAAAACATATTAATCAGTATGTACTTAGTGGTTGAATGGCGCACTAGGGGCCGAATTTCGCTATCACGTTCAACTCTTAAAGGCGAAGCTTAAGGGTCTCCCATTTTTTTATTATGGTCAATGGTTGTGTCTAGATGTGATTATTCGCTGATCGTTACGTGCTTTTAAAAACATTAATTCTTTGAATGACCAAATTAGTTTACATATTAGTTTAAATATTATGCCTATATAACATTACTGAAATAATATAATTGGATTGGGTAAGGGAAACAGAACGACACCTGTGAAAATGAATCTGAAGAAAACGAAAGTAATGAACAAAATTATCTGAAGAGAACAACTCTTAGCAATAAGTAGGGAGCTGCTTGAAGTTGTAAAAGAACACTTCAATTCAGGATTGGTAGTAACAGTGGAGGCAAATCATGATACTGAAGAGACATGAAGAATAAGATGGCATGTAACATATTCGGCAAGCATTCTCAAGTCATGAACGGTTGTTTACCACTATTCGTAAGAGGAAGGTGTACAACAGGTGCATCTTACTGGTACATAACTATGGAGCAGAAACCTCGAGACTCACAAAAATGGTTCAGATTAAGCTGAGGACGACACAGTGAGTGATAGAAATGCTAAATTCACAGCTGTAACCTTCAGGGTAAAAAGAGAGCACAGTGGATCAGAGAAAGACGAGAGCTATGGACGTCTAAGCCGAAATGAGGAAGATGAAATGCACATCACATGGACAGGTAATGCGTAGGCAACATCACCACTGGTCCTTAGAAGTAACTTATTCGACTCCAAGAGAAGGCAGACATGAGAGGGAGATACAGAAAGTTAGGTGTGCAGACGAGATGAAAGAGTTCGCTGAGTATAACGTGGCAGCAGAAAGCACCGAACGGGGTTGAATACGGGAACATGGGTGATGCCTTTGTCCTGCACTAAACGTTGTCTGGATGAGGATGATGGATCTGTGACATAGCTATTCTGATACCCTGGTAACCCTTTCTGGACGTCTTTCTATAATGCACCACCCACGGACTTCACGGGAACGCCACTAGATGGCACAGCGTGTCAGTGGCAAACACGAATGAGGAGCTTAGCTGCAGCACGTACCGCTTGAGACGTAACTAGTTTCGATGCTGGCAATTGGCAGCACTGCATTACATTTGCACATTCGTGATTGCATTAATGGTGTGACGGGCGCCCTATATCTCTATCATCTGCCTTTAATGCCCTTCTGTTAATATGTGCGCACAACATTCACTTCCCAAAGCAACTGCGTACACTGTAATAATTGGTTTTTCTCGGTATGCAGCTGCCCAGGGAGATCTTCCTCCGCCAATTTCGACAAGTGCCGCCCCTCCTGCTTTTCTGCACGAGCCTCCCGTGCAGACGCTCTTCTCAAACTCCACGGGCACGCTTGTCTCGTGCTCGGCTTCCGGCCAGCCTCGGCCATCGGTGACGTGGACCAATGAAACCGGCTCGCCTCTTGAGCCGCTGCCGGGACTGCGCCGTATCAGGCTAGACGGGACGCTGGAGTTTTTCCCTTTCCGCGGAGACGAATATCGCCAGGACGTGCACTCTGCACGGTACCGGTGCCGTGCCTCCAACACACTCGGTACCGTGGTGAGCCGGAGTGTCCACGTCAGAGCCAGTAAGTGAATGTATACGCCAATCCATAACGACCATTCGCATATCTATCTATCTATCTATCTATCTATCTATCTCTATCTATCTATCTATCTATCTATCTATCTATCTATCTATCTATCTATCTATCTATCTATCTATCTATCTATCTATCTATCTATCTATCTATCTATCTATCTATCTATCTATCTATCTATCTATCTATCTATCTATCTATCTATCTATCTATCTATCTATCTATCTATCTATCTAATCTATCTATCTATCTATCTATCTATCTATCTATCTATCTATCTATCTATCTATCTATCTATCTCTATCTATCTATCTATCTATCTATCTATCTATCTATCTATCTATCTATCTATCTATCATGTGTTTGAGTGAAGGTGCGTGTCACATTAAATGAATGCGCTTCTTCTATAGTAACCATAATATCCTGATTAAACCACTCATCGTGTCATCCTGTTCATCCTCTTCATCCTCTTTATAAAGATCCTTTTATTACACTTTCTGTTGGTAAGATATTATTATTATTTTGAATGTTTTTTCTTTATATTGACACGCCACTTACGCAGTTGCTACGGTCAATTACTTGATCATAGATCTGTCTTGTGTTTGTACTTGGAGCTTAAGAAAAGTCCCTTAATTGGTACACCAAAAAATAGTTCGTTGAAAAGCCTTTGCACGTATTTCATTGCATGCGCGAATCAGTAAACATTCGGACAACCATCGGAGAGTCTACAGCCATAATCAGGGACTAGTGAAATTACCGTTTCCTCTGAAACTGCGAGGCATCGAGAGGCATCATTGTCACTTACGTTTCCTCAGACTACCGAAAACAAAGCAGAGCATGGTTATACGTCTTATTTAATCAAGAAAGAATCTTCTCCATTTATGTCTTACTGCACACGACTAACGACTTGAGAGCGTCAACTTAACTTGCGATTTTTCAGCGTTGAGTAATAACCATGTTAAAGTGCAAAAGGTATATCGCGCAAAGCTTAGGCGTATTGCGACAGAGTGCAGAAACTATATGGTTACAAGCAACCACTGCTTCCGTCTCGCTAGAGGTCCCTGCTTCAAGAAGCCGCGGAAGCGCAATGTGCATCCACTGGATCTTCCTTCCCAATGATGTTGTGTATGACAACGATAGTTAGAGTACGTTTGAAAGCATACGTGGCTAAAAAGCGTAACTCAACCCTGAAAGAGGCGCCGTTAAAACATCTCGCGGGAACATACTTTATTTGAGGAGAAAAGAATAATAAAAAAAGCAAGTCACCTCGTTTCTTTCTTTCATCTCGCTGACAACAAAAGAGGCCTCCGGTGCATCTCGGTGGTGCCACCGCCGCTGTATATTACATTTTCGCGTCACTTCGCCCGATTCTGTTTTACTTCAAAGCCATGCTACAGTACGGTTACCGCGTCGAAACCCGAACGCCAGAGTGCGCTCCGGGCCACAGAGACGTGCTTCTGCAGACGAGACAGAGTAGCGAATACAAAGAGTCGCCCCTGACTTGTTTACCGGGGCAATAAAAGAAAGCAGCGGATGCCTATGTGCCATCGCAGCACAACGTGCCGAAGTATAGTTGACATGCACAGAGTCGGCGGCCGTATCGTCAGCGGCGGGTGTTCTGCGAAACGGCACGGAAAATTCAGAAAGATTTTTTGGCCCGTAAAAAAAAAAGAAAACTGAAATCGAAGAAGGAACGCGTCCCGCCTGAAACGACATGAATTACACTGCACCTAAAAAAAAAAAGCAGTGTGGGTATTGTCTGACATGTTTGCGGCTCTTAGTGTACTACAGTTTTCGTGCATCTATCACTGCTTCCTTGGAATCATCCCGAGTACACCTAGAGTGCTCTAACCCACAATAGAACCAGATGCCTCATATTTGTGCACTGAAGACTTTATGTACTCGCGAAACAACTCCAGGGCATAGCTATTGCATTTGTTTACTACGCCTCACTGCTCACAAATTTCAAACTTATGTTTATTTGGGACATGGCCTTTTGTGTAACAGCTTCAAATCTCTTTCCGAAGAAAAAAAGAAACTGTCCTGGTGAAACTCCTATTTCACGGTGCTTTCTTAGCGCGAAAGAATACCTAATACACACATTGCAGAGCTTCTTGTCTTGCTATCGCGCTTTCTTTCTTTGCGATATTGTCGACGTCTGCAGTAACTCATTTCTTTTCCTGTGGAGCGTTTGCGACCAGACACAAGAAGATGAAACAACGCCAACAACTTCGCGACAGACGCGTCTCACCATACTGTTCTACACTCACAGAATTCGCACTCTCTTGGGCATCGATGCTTTTTTGAGGTACCGAGTGCGTCGTATATGGAAAATTTTGTTTTTACCATGTTGTCAAGGGTGCCAAGCATACATGCTGGCGCTTCGCTCGAGAGGCTTCGAGTCTGGCTTTCGAGATCGACAGAGAAGGGGAACTCGTACGTTCGTATTTTAGCGTGTGCGTTATGTTCGCGTTGGTACGTGTCTTTTTTACGCCCCATTTATAAGAGAATAGTTCTTAGGCATGGGGTTTCTGCTTAGAACGTCACCGTAACCAGTACGCAGGACGAGGACTCCGCACAGGAGCGCGCCATGTATGAAACGCTACCGAGGAAGACGATGATGCGTGCTGTACTGGGGTTGGACTTAATGCGCGAGCATCTGATTACCAAGATTATTGATTTTCATAGCTTCATCATACATTGGATGGATGTGTTCACTGAATACTAATGACAAACTTGCCAAATAGTGCCGCCGTCAAGCATAACGTAAAGAGCCAGCAGCCTCGTTAGATCGACTATATTTCTTCATCTCGTCAGTTTTTTCCCAAAAACTATTTAGGGGCGAAGCTCCTGCCGCAGTGGATCGTATGTGTGGTGTTGTCGTAGTCGTCGCAGTAGCCAGTTGCATAGCATTGCATGTCAATAAAAATGGTGCCACAGCATGTTCACGGAGTGAATGATGATGAGTGGGGTGAAGCGTCCATCAGTTGGTCTGTGCTTCCGTGCGTCCGCCCGTCCTTGCGCCCGTCCGTTCTTGCGTCGGTGCGTCCGTCGGTGCGTCTGTCCGTACGTCTGTCTATGCGTCCGTCCGTCTGCTTCGCCCCGCTCTTCATCATTCACCTCGTGGATATGCTGTGATTTTTTTCTTTCCGCTATATCAATCGCCTTTTACTTCCTCTCTTTCCTCTTTGCATAGGGTAGGAAACTGAAACATTGTTTTCCGATTAGCAGTACCTTTATTTGTGTGTATTCCTCTACCCACATTTGAGAAGACCAGCGTATCTTGTCCGGCAGTAGTTTTCAAACCATAGACACTTGTTGGCAATAATTGCTCCTAGAACACAGGCGTGGACGCTTCGTCCGAGATGCTCTTTGTAAGGCTACTGAACCAGACTACTTGTGTTGCTCTGAAATGTGTAGGAAAGCGTCAGGATAGGCTGAAGTGTGAGCACTGGCGCTTTCCTGGTTTAAGCGCTCTGGCGCTTTGTCAGGGCATCCAAGCCAGGTGAGGTTTTATCGAAGGCCTGGAACCTGAATCCGGCTGAACACAGACACGACAGACGCCAGAGGGTCAGAAGATGTTCGTATATCTTGTCTACCATACCCTCGCTTTTACTGAAGCGAAAAGAAACGCTGACCAACGTGATGATCTTGCTGGCAACTCTGATTCAATTCGAGTTGTTGTGAATTGATCAGTATTTTTATGCCATAAAGGAAGCGCATGCCATAATTTGGCATTGAGTAGTAGGGAAAGCAATGAGCAGCTTTCTTGGGATCACGTGCATCAAGTGATTCATTGATTACATCACACCAAGCTACCAGCCCACTAAAATAGTTCTTACATTAATAATTGCACCAAAATGTAGCTTAATTACTGAAATTTTATTAGTGCCAAGTGTACGTAAAACATCTGTGGCAGCCTTACGTTGTTTCATTTAAGACGTACTCCCTTACTGCTCCCATCCTTTCGTTTCCTGCTAATCTTGCCACAGAACACATTCGGATGGGCTTGGATTACCACAAAACACGAAGCCCTTGCCTACAATCTCTTTTTTATTATTATTTCGCAGTACGGAGTCAGGAACGTTCGCAACTGCGTGTCCAGCGTTACTTATCGCAGCTGCGCTTCACTTATCGCTGAGAACTTCTTCGTAGCTGTGGTCTGTTGATGCACTAACGCTCCAGCGCACGCAAAATCACAGACAGTACAACTGTTCTATAGGAATAGCTTTTGGTTCTGCGCTTGCATATGTATGGGTTTTTTTACTGGCGTTTGGGCTACGTTATTTCACTTTTTTTCTTCAGGACGTACAGCGTTATCACTTTACCGCTTCCACCACCAGCCACAAATTTACGACGTGACCTAGCCCTCGCAGCCGGTGTCTTAGCACACTGCCCGTTGTTTCCTGATCCCCGTTTTTCCCGCACGTTATTTCTGGTTTAATGCGATGGGTTTTCGTTTATTTTCTTTTATTTGTTCTTGCCTGGTGTGCATGGCGGGCACAATCGGGATCGGTTCGTGACAATGGCGTGAATGCATAATGTATAAGTAGGCTAGATCCCGCAACAGAGTAGTTCTCTTTTCGCTAGGTTTCTTCTTTGTTTTTTCCCAATTTGAGAGAGCTACCGCCATTCGCATGTAAGTGCTTCTGGGGCTAGTCTTCCCGAAAACGGACCACGCGGATTGTTCAATCACAGTCCCTCCGATGCTTCAGAGGTGGTTGTTGTTGCTTCGATTACTCGAGACTGCTCATGCCGTTTGCGAGAAACGTATACTGTACCTATACAGGCACACGCACCAGTTACGCCTCTCGAAGAGGAAGCAAACAGCATTCGGTGGCAGCTCGCGGATTCCATCGTGAACAGCAATGCACCTTCCGGGTATTGTATAGCGCGGTTCTCGAAAACGCGACTGAAGCCTGAAAGTTGTACTTTAAGTTCTGTGGAACGACCCAGGGCAGTCGAACCGAGGAATTCGCCAAGTCAAA